GTTCCTTCATAGGTCCTTTGTAGTTCCTTCGTAGTTCCTGCATAGTTTCCTTCATAGTTCCTTCATAGGTCCTTTGTAGTTCCTTCGTAGTTCCTACACAGTTTCCTTTGTAGTTTCTTCGTAGTTCCTCCGTAGTTTCCTTCGTAGTTCCTTCATAGGTCCTTTGTAGTTCCTTCGTAGTTCCTCCATAGTTTCCTTCATAGTTCCTTCATAGGTCCTTTGTAGTTCCTTCGTAGTTCCTCCATAGTTTCCTTTGTAGTTTCTTAGTAGTTCCTCCGTAGTTTCCTTCGTAGGCCCTTCTTAGTTTGGTAGTAGTTTACTTTGTAGTTCCTTAGTAGTTTACTGACTAGTTTGCTTTGTAGTTCTTTAGTAGTTCCTCAGTTTCCTTCGTAGTTCCTTAGTAGTTTGGTAGTTTCCATCATAGTTCCTTTGTAGTTCCTTAGTAGTTTGGCAGTAGTTTCCTTAGTAGTCCCTTCCTAGTTCCTTAGTAGTTTGGTAGTAGTTTCCTTCGTAGTTCCTTCATAGTTCCTTACTAGTTTGGCAGTAGTTTCCTTCGTAGTTCCTTAGTAGTTTGCTCATATTTCCTTAGTAGTTCCTTAGTAGTTTCCTTCATAATTCCTTAGTAGTTTTTAGTAGTTTACTGACTAGTTTGCTTCATATTTCCTTAGTAGTGTGGTGGTATTTTCCTTCATAGTTCCTTAGTAGTTCCTTAGTGTCTTCCTTCGTAGTTCCTTAGTAGTTCCTTAGTAGTTTACTGACCAGTTAGCTTCATAGTTCCTTAGTAGTTTGGTGGTAGTTTCCTTTGTAGTTCGTTTTTACTTCCTTAGTAGTTCCCTAGTAGTTCCTTAGTTGTTCCTCATAGTTCATGAGTAGTTCTGTAGTAGTTTCCTTTCTAGTTTCCTTAATAGTTCCTTCACAGTTCCTTAGTAGTTCCTTCCTAGTTCCTTAGTATTTTACTTGTAGTTTCTTAGTAGTTTCCTTTCTTGTTTCCTTGGTAGTTCCTTTGTAGTTCCTTAGTAGTTTCTTAGTACTTTCCTTAGTAGTTTCATTTCTAGTTTCCTTAGTAGTTCCTTTTTTGTTTCCAGTAGTAGCTCATAGTTTTTTAGTAGTTGTTTAGTAGGTGACTCCCAGTAGATGGCTCATAGTTCCTTTATAGTTCCTTAGCAGGTGGCCTGTAGTTCATTAGCAGTTGTTTACTAGTTCCTCAGCAAGGGACTCATAGTTCCTTAGTAGTTCCTTAGAGATGACTCTGGTAGATGACTCCTAGTTCCTTAGTAGTTCCTTAGTAGGTGGCTCATAGTTCCTATGTAGTTTCTTAATAGATAGTTGGTAGTTTCGTATTACTTTCTCAGTAGGTGACTCCCAGTAGATGATGCATAGGACCTTAATAGTTCCTTAGTAGTTCCTTAGTAGTGCTTTGTAGTTTCTTACTATTTCCTTAGTATGTGACTCGTAGGAGATGGCTTGTAGTTCCTTAGTAATTCCTTCATAGTTCCTTAGTAGTTCTTTAGTAGGTGGCTCGTAGTTTCTTAGTGGGTGTCTTGTAGTTCCTTAGTAGGTAACTCCTATTAGATGGCTCATACTTCCTTAGTATTTCCTTAGTAGTTGGCTTGTTGTTCCTTAGTAGTTTTTTAGTAGTATGTTAGTAGGTGGTTCATAGTTTCTTATTAGTTCCTTAGCAGGTGACTCCAGTAGATGACTCGTAGTTCCTTAGCAGTTCCTTAGAGTTCACTAGTAGGTGGCTCATAGTTCCTTAGTAGGTGGCTCATAATTCCTTAGTAAGTTACTCCCAGTAGGTGGCTCGTAAAACCTTAGTGTCCTTAGTAGGTGCCTCATAGTTCTTTAGTAGTCCATTAGTACTTTCTCAGTAGTTCTTTAGTATATGGCTTGTAGTTCCTTAGTAGTTCCTTAGTAGTGGCTGTGGTCTTTAGTAGCTCCTTAGTAGGTAGCTCATAGTTATTTAGTATTTCTTAGTATGTGGGTAGTATTTCATCAGTAGTTTCTTAGTAGTTCCTTAGTAAGTCATTAGTAGGTGGATGGTAGTTGTTGGTAGTTTGTTCCTAGTTCCTTAGTAGGTGGGTAATAGTTACTGTTCAGGTGAATAGTAGATCATTAGTATTCATTAGTAGGTTGTTGGTAGGTTGTTAGTAGGTTTTTAGTAGTTCTTCAGTAGGTGGATAGGAATTCCTTAGTAGGTGGATTGGTATGTAGTAGGTTTTGGTAGGTTGTTCATAGTTCCTTAGTTGGAATACGCCATTAGTAGATAGATCATAGGTCATAAGTAGGTTGTTAGTAGGCTGTTAGTAGTTCCTTAGAAGGTGGGTAGTAGTTCCTTCACAGGTGCATAGTAGATCATTAGTAGCTCATTAGTAGGTTGTTGGTAGTTCCTTAGTAATTCTTTAGTAGGTGGGTAGTAGTTCCTTAGGTAGATAGGAGTTCTTTAGTAGGTCATTAGTAGGTTTTATGGTCATTCATTAGTAGGTCCTTAGGTTAGTAGGCATGAATCAGTAGTTTGTTAGTAGTCCTTCATAGATTGTTAGTAGGTCTTTAGTAGTTCCTTTGTAGGTCATTAGTAGATCCTTATTAGGATGGTAGGTTGTTAGTAGTTCCTCAGTAGTTCCTTAGTAGGTAGATAGTAGGTCATTTGTAGGTCTTCAGTAGGTTTGATTGTAGGTCATTGGTAGGTTTAGTAGGTGCATAGTTTGTTAGTAGTTCCTTATTAGGTTTTTAGGAGGTCATTAGTAGATGGATAGTAGTTGGTGATAGTAGATCTTTAGTAGGTCATTAGTAGGCTGTTGGTAGGTTGTTAATAGTTGCTTATTAGGGTATTACTAGGTGGATAGTAGGTCATTAGTAGATGGATAGAATGTTTTTTACTACATTATTAGTAGGTTTTTAGTATATCATTAATAGGTCCTTAGCAGGTGGATAGTAGTTCATCAGTAGTTTCTTAGTAATTCTTATAATTAAAGGGGAAGAAATACTCTGGGTTGTAGAATAGCAATATTATCCAAAGATCATCAAAGAAGTCATAAGTTCTTTAATGAAAATGTTTATTTGGTTGATCATACAAAATTACTGTCTTGATTTTGTTTATATTATAATTAATAGTATTTGGGAAAGAATATATATGGCTTATTTTATAATTTTTTTGAAATGCCTAAATAATTTATATAGAAGCATCTGCTGTCAAATAAGGACAAAACTGAATCACAGAATGAGATCATCCTCACTATGGCTATATAATTATTATCATGAAGACATGGGCTGAAAACACTTTTGTGTACTTATAAATCTGTTTTGTCTTAGACAGAATAACTCCAACCATGATTTGTCGCTTTGAATAATAGTGACAGAAGAGTTTAAATAGGATGGCATTCCCTGGAAATTTTACCCTCCTTTATTGTTAAAACAGTGTCAGGTTGTTCTCTGTTCCATTCTATTGAGTCATGAGCTTTTTAGTAAAACACCAAAGGAAGGGAAAAAGGAGGAAAATTGAGTTAGCAAAAGGAATCCATGAGTTCTTTCTCTTAAAGATTTCTGTCAACTTTTTGGCTCAGCTAAACTCAGATCCATTTTATTTTAAGGCAAGGAAGAATTATTTAGTAATTAATATGGTCACATTCATTCTGCCTAAACAGAGTTCAATATTTCAAATTGCCCTAGAATAAACATTAAACCTGCCAAAAATAGTAGAATCAAAATGTACTGTTCCTCAATTACTCACTGAAATACCCCATAGCTTGACTTTATTGATTTTCACAAGTACTCTGACCTGCAGATCAGACCTATCATCTCGGTAGAGATGTGGAGATTTAGTACTACATGCAATTGCTTGGTCCAGTTTCAGTTTTAAGTCTCCTGAGCAAAGCATAGTTGTTCATTCCAGTTTTTTTTCTTCACTCTTCTAAAAATTTTCCTTAAATTTACTACAAGAAAAGATCATTTCACATCAATTTTGTTTAACCATGGGCATTCAGTGCTATAAAATTCTTAATCACTTTATTTTTCACCAAAGATTATATACTATTCAGATAATCAAGAAAAAATGGCCAAACAGCTTTCTGGGGAAGGAGGGATTTGTGACCTTTCTCCCCACTGAATGTTAGAACACAGCTACTTTGGGTTGAGTATGGAAAGACTGAAAGTATGCTAACCTTTGGTTTCTACTTACATTCCTGTTTCTCAGTGGAAAATTCTTTTTGATGCTTCACGTCACACAGCATATGACAGTTCTTATACTACATGTTATATTTAATGATATTCAGAGTCAATATCTCATCTTTGTTCTCACCTTCTTATATTATTATTATTATTTGAGTGATAGATTTACAACCTTGACTTTTCCAATATACATGAGAGCACACCAGAACACATTTTCCTCATGCATGTGATTAACCACAGGGTCATATTTTTCTTTAAGGGTAATTTCTTGAAAAAGACTTGGATATATAAATGTAAATTCACTTTAACTAGAACTATTGACAATATATTATGTTGACACTAGAAGAAACCAGGTAAACAAAAATACAATGTACACCTTGATCTTTAATGGTATAGGAATAAGATATCAACACAATTAATTATAATGTAAAGCAGAATGAGCATTGGGTTCAATCAGGGGAATATGTTTTTATGTGATAATTTACTTTAACTTTTCCCAAGTGCTTTTTCTTTATATTATTATAATGTATGCTGTGGCCTTTAACATTTATGTATGTATGCTTGAAGCAACCTAGGTTGTTATTTCTTCAAAGAAAATTGTTTGCTATTGCATTCCAATAGTTTGGCATTTCAAGTGTTGAATTTTCTCTACTGGGGGAAAAAAACAAACAAAGGGAAAGTGCTTTTAGGACACTGCCATCATTTCTCAGCTTTATAAAAACAGAGTCCTTTGCCTCTGTTAGAAAGTAGAAGGTGAAATGTTTGTAGAGAATGATAATTAGTATGATGGCTTTGATTTTATTTTATTTTTGCTATATGACCTTTTTCTCTAATAGTTTCTTTTCAGCCTGGCACCATGACCTTCCTAAATTTCTGAAAAATTTTCTCCAAGATTGCTTCATCTTAGAACTGAAGTTCTTTTAGCACTTGTTTCCATCTGGAAATGAATCATCCAGTGATCCACATGCACCATACCAACTGAAGTCAACCTAGGGCCTGTCTCCACAGACACTGCCAGACCCAAGCATATTCCAAGGCATGAGCTATTGGCATTCCTATTTGATTAATGAGGACAATATTTCAATTTGGTATCATGTTGAAGTCAACAATGAAAACAAAAAGCCTTCATTTTATCCTATCCTGAATGAAATGGGATGTAAATATAAAGGTTGATTAAAGTTGAAACCTGCTGCATTTTAGAAAGTGGATTTTTTGAGTTTAATTTTCTCCCTCTTCCTGATAGCAAGGACTTTCATTTGTTAAATTTATTTTTCATTTATTTTTCTGATGGTAAGTAATTTCATTTATTAGATTACTAAATTTATTTTTTTTCTTTTATGATGTGAATTTCTCTATTATTCTTTATAACAAATTTTAAAAATCATTTGGCACATCAAAATAATCTAAATGCCACCATATTTTAACAAATATATCAACCAAAGAGCATAATGAGTTTAAGAAAATGGGAGGATTTTTAGATCACACACACATACCAATTCTATTATCAACAGTATTGGTGATTACAATTCTAATTGACCACACAATTACCTTTTGCTTATAAAATTTAGACTTTGTTTTCAAAATATCACTATCACTGATGATCTTACTAATTAAAACCTAAAATTCTGGGCCACCCTGGAGGCACAGTGGGTTGAGCGCAGCACTGTGAAGCTGACCACATCCTCTGCAGTGCAGGTTCGATTCCTGGCTGGCCAGGGAGATTCCCACATGGTGCAGCAGACCTCTCCTGTCTTGCCCACTGCTCTCCCTTGCAGTGTATTTCGGTCCTTCTGCCTGTTTAGCTCCCAGTTCTCTCTTTGGTGAATTCTCCCACTCTCCCACGCCTCTGGCTTGTACTTCAGTGCTTGTATAAATAAATAAATCTTTAAAAAAAAAAGTTGGAATTCTACTTATAACTCAAACTCATAAACCTTGGAATAAAGCACCCTGTGAACTTTCATTAAATAGAGAAAAAATTATCTTCTCCATTCTTTCTTTCTTTATCAGATATAAAATGTGGACTTTGTACCAGATATGATTCCTTAAAGTCAGTTTACTAAGTTCAAAGGAAAGAAAGCACAGGCTTTATTGTCTGCATTATATTTCGTAGACAACATACAACATAAATTATACACATACTCATGTTATATCATTCTATATATCATTCCTCAGCTTAGTTTATATGGAAACCAGAACTCTAGACAAAAGTTTGCATGTAGGCAGCTCATTTGAGAAGTGATTCCAGGGTACAGAAGTGCAAGATTTGAGAGTGAAAGAAGGCAGGAAGGAGAGAGTCCATACAGAATGTGTTACTAGCAGCTCACCACTATGCATGAGTAGGTACTGACTTCTACAAGGACCTTCATGGGAGAATATAGAACATATCCCAGAATTATCTGTACAAGTGGGAAAAAAAGAAGTGGTATATGTCAACCACATCCTCTCTGGGTTGAGAATTGTCCCTTGGGTAATAGCTACTATGTGCGTCAAGGTTGCACATGTGTAGTTCCAAACTGGGCTCCTGTAAGCGACCCACCCTTTGCATCAATAAAGAAGCAAGGCAGAAAATAAGAGAAAACAATACCTTATTGAGATTAGACTTTGTGCACAAAGCCTGTTTAAGGTTTTGTAGACAAGATACTGTATCCATGGCTATGGAACAGTTAAAATCTAGAATATCTAAGATGCTCAATAGAATCTATTATATTTTTCAAGTTTCTGACCTGTATATAATTGTTGAGTCAATTCAATAATAATCCCTTCAGAGAAGCAATATGGAAAAAATGGAATTCTTAGAATATTTAAATTATTTTAAGATTTTTAACCTACTTCCCAAATATATTCGAGTAAATATGAGAAATTATTAAATGAAATGGAGTAGGTTTCTATACTGAATACTTTTCTGTATATTCAATGTATTGATGAACTTGTGGATGAGAATTTTCAAATTAAATTATTATTTTATTTTATTTTATTTTTTAAGATTTATTTATTTATTTATACAAGCACTGGGTACAGTCAGAAGCACGGGAGGGTGAGAGAATTCACCAGAGCCAGAGCGGGGAGCAGAGCAGGCAGAAGGACCGAAGTACACTGCTGAGGGGAGCAGCGGGCGGCAGGAGAGGTCTGCGCGCCATGTGGGACCCTCCTCCGGTGGCCGGGGAGCAGCCGGGGATCGAACCGGCACCACAGAGGCCGCGGGCAGCTTCGCAACCCAGCGCTCAACCGCTGCGCCACTGGGGAGGCCCCTATTATTTTATTTTTAACATGCACTTTTCCTTCATGAAATACTTCTAAAGACCTGAGTTCTATAAAATAAAACCTTTTTAAAGTACTACCTAATTTGTATTGAGCTTATGTTATGTTCAGGGCACTCTATCAAAAACTCTATGTTTATTAATGTATTTAACCTTTACAATATTGTAAAACTAAGGATATTATTTTCTCCACTTTACAAAGGTAGAATCTGAGGCACAAAGTAAAAGTGTTGGATATTTGCCCTAGAGTTTTAAATGGCCCATAACAAGATATAATTATTTTTTCAGTTAGTGACTTATATGGGTTTAAAGATGAATTAACATATTTATTTTCCAATTGTGTTCAACGTTTGGCATATCAAGAAGCTCCAGTCGTTCATATGCATCTTTTATTTTCAAATGTATTTTATTTAATGTTATTTTTAGTTTTATTTTTCTGTACATTAAGTATCTATGAGATATTTAATAAATATCTACATATTTAAATATAAATATTTAAATAAATAACTGTGAGATTTAATGTCACATAAATATCTATGAGATATAGAGATATCTCTCTCTGAATATCTTTAGGGTCTTTCTGAAAGCCTAATTCTAGAACTAACTTTTTTAATGCTTATTTTCAAAAAATTTTTTATTTTAATAACTAACATCTTGGTTACTTTTTGAGTTGGAATATAGTTATGTTAGTAAATTATGTCAAGGTTGAACCCATGAATTTCTCAAGCATGTTAATTTTATAAAAATAATGATAATTTAGAAATTTTAATGAACCAAATTCTCCAATCTAAGAAAGACTGAATTAATGTTTCAGATTGTATGGAAAAATAATCTCATCCTAAAATGATGTCACTTTAGAGGTTTTAAATTGTTAAAATGTCACTTTATGTCACTTTCTTCCAAGTTGTGTTGTCTTGGCTTTGCTATTTTGTTCCCAAGATAATGTCATTCATCCTATGTCTTCACTAATAACGTCTTCAGATAATTATGCATAATATTAGAGTAAATGTTTTATAAATATAGAATGAATTAATTACATCTAAGATGTTTGTCTTGTTGTAATGTGTGTTCTAAATTCTGTCCATCCAGGGGTCTCCCTGGTGGCGCAAGAGGTTAAGACACAGCACTATCAAGCTATCCACAGCCACTGCAGCACAGGTTCAATCCCCGGCCAGGGAGCAACCTATACCATGCAGCAGACCTCTTCTGTCTTGCCCACTGCTCCCCTCAGCAATGTATTTCAGTAAATCTACCTGTTCTGCTCCCCAATCTGCCCCTAGTGAATCCTCTTACCCACCCCAACACACACACCACTGGCCTGTACCCCAGTTCTTGTATTCATGGATAGATAAATCTTTAAAAAATGATAATAAATAAATAAATTCTGTCCATCCAATTCATTTTTCATGCACACACCAAACATATATTTAACACCCCTTTCCAGACACAATGTGCTAGAATTACATATTGAATCCCAGCTTCCCCACCTATAAAATGGGAATATTGGTATATTCATCACCTGGAAGCCTAAAGAAAAGGAGAGACAATTTTTATAGAGTATCAGTAACAATAAGCACATATGAGTTATTGTTTAAAATCTGAGTAAGCAAATTACAGTCCATGGGGAAAGTCAGGCTCATCTGGTTTTACAAATAAAGTTTTACTGAAACAAGACCATGGCTATTTGCTATTTATTTTCTGTGACTATCATAATGGCAGTAGAACTGAATTGTGTGACAAAGACTATGACTTACGAAGACAATAATGCTTCCTATGTGGTCCTTTACAGAAAAAGTTTGCCAACTTTTCCCAAATTGCCCAGACCTTAATAAGTGTTATATATAGAAGTTTTTGCTATATAGAGAAATTCCTCCTCATGAATTCTAATTAAAGAGATTTAAGTTAAAGCAGGTATTCTATTTTCAACATGCTAACCCAGTTACCATGCAGCTTATGCGGAAGTCATTAAGAAGTAAATTTGGAAAACTTCCCTAAGGAATGTCAGTTTGAGGTTAAAATTCAAGATTTTGGGGCACCTTAACAAAGAAGAAATTTTTCAGAGAAAAGAAAAATTCACTTAATCTGAATTGTCACTATAATAACCCCGAGCAGAACTAGAAAGAATAAGAATTTTCTAAAATGAAAATTCCAATTCCTGGGCAAAAATTTCTGAGAGGAAGATTTAACATTAAGTGAGGAATATCTCAATACCAGATCATGAAGAAATGACTCAAATAATAAAATGCCGAACAATGGGGAGACCAGACAGATTGCATTAAGAAGAAAAAGGACCTGTGTCAAATTGTGACAGAGTTGAGAGCAGCTTAAATTCAGTGAGAAGGGCTTTCTCAAGGATGTGAGTGCTAGTAATCAGGCAGAGGAGTTAACAAAGAAGTGGAATAAGTAGAACATACTTCTAAATGTGCAATCTTGCCACCTTACGGCGCGTATTCCCAGCCAATGCAGCTAGTTCCTTTGCTAAACAGAAATAAAATAAATCCAAGTATTGATAGTCATGAAGACACTTTGAAGGGCAGTGGCAAGAAAGTTCAAACCCACTTTTTCATTTTTCTACATAGGCACATAGAGATACTATCACATCACTTGTTCTCTATGTAGTGAGAAATAATTGGACCTCATATGTTAGTGATTGTTTGGGCGAGAAATTTCCATGAAACTAAGTCAAGACAGCTGCTTGGGTTGTTAGCTGTCCTTACCCCAGACAGGGCCGAGAGAACATTTCTAGGAAGATGCCTGATAACAGCAAACTTTCCTTTCAGCAACTCTGTGAGCCTTATGTCATGAGAGAAAGCCTAGGTACACTGGGCTTGAGCACAAGCTCCATCTTGACTACAGCTCTCCCCTTGCGTTGTTTGGGAAACAAATCACTTGTGAGCATCTTCATTCCAGCCACTCATGTACTAACAAACAATGACAGAAAGGC